TGGGTTGGAACCATGGTGTTTTAGTGAGAACAGAAGGAGGAAAGAGAAAGCTATATGGCCTTCTTAATCTAGGTGGCATCGTGAGACTGATAAAATGAACTGTGTTAGGACTACATGGTCACCATTTGAACTTACTTTTTTATTAAAAATTATTTTCATTTATGTGTATTTGTGAGTGTATGCCACATGTGTGTGGGTGCCTATGGAGGGCAGGAGAGGGTGTTGGATCCTAGAAGCTGGAGTTACAGGCTATAGTGAGTCACTGGATGTAGGCATCAGGCCTATACTCCACGCTCTGGAAAAGTGGTGAAGGTTCTTAGTCACTGAGCCATCTGGTCAACTCACAGCCAGTGCCTTACCGTCTGAAGTCTGGACTGGGCTGCAGGGAGGGCACTGACACAAGGGGCGCCTCTTCGGCTTGCTCCACAGGATGCAAACTGACCTGGTTCTTCCATCATATCAACCTTTTACTTTTCCTGATTGTAAGAATAGTCTGTGTCTATCATATGCTTGGTGATACACATATAATAAGAGTTCCTTACAACTCTTAGATCAGTGGTAGTCCCTCATGCTCTAGGGCTATTTTCTTCTATCCCTGCCCCCCATGAGGTGCTGCACAATGCAGTCAGCTAGTTAGGGAGCCCAACGTCAAGCACACTGTTCCAGAGGACATGGCAGTAGTGTGAAGCTGTGCTATGACAAGCTCCTCTTTGAACGCTGGAGTCCAGGGCTGCCTGTGTGAAAGCCTGGCCCTCCGTTTCCAAGAAGCTTGCTCTGTGTGCACTTTGCAGGAGTGAACTGTGGTACAATATACTTTTATTTTCTCTAAAAATACATAGCATGAAACATAAAAGTTTATCTTAACAAAAGAAAATAAAAGTGGTAAGAACATGTACAAAGAGACTAGCCCCAAAGCATTCAATTTGTACGGAAGTAGCTGTTTCGTAATGGAGTTTTAATAGTATGAAATTTCTAAGGTGTATAAGTACTGTGTTGGAGGAGAACAGACTGTATCTGTTTTTAATGCTCATGAAAATACATCTATAGTTCAGACCAAACTGGTACACACACACACACACACACACACACACACACACACACACACACCTATCTCTCTTTATTGTCTTTTTTCTGTATATATCTCATATGAATATATATATAGACATATATATATATATATATATATATATATATATATATAAATTTTAAATACACACACACTATTTTTAATGGACAATCAAACTACCTAAAATTTCCAAGTCTTTAAGAACAACATCAGGTCTTGTCTCCATTGTAAGCATCCCACAAGAGTCTCAGTTTATCATTTGTTACCAGAGTTATAGTAACAGATCCTGTGACTGTCTTTACCAGTATGTCCAAATTGTCCCACTGAAATACCCTCCCTCAGACCTAGCACTGATCACATAATGCCCTGGCTCAAGACACAGACAGTTCCCATGGCTGCGTGCTAATCTGTACACTACTGCTCTGGTGTTTCTAATCCAGATTCTCTCCCCCACTGTCACAGCCCTCATATTTATACCTTGCTCAGTCTTCTGGGTTTCTTTAACTCTTCCCTCGACCTGGGCTTCCAGTCCCACTCTGTGTTCTTATCTGTCTTCCTGACTATTATTCAGGTTACTGAATGCTTGTCTTTCCTTTGCATCAGGCCACAGGCTTGCTTGCTCTCTGAGGTCTGGACCTCAGGTCAGGACCCAGTGTGATTAAGTCATGGTTAATTTGGAAAATTATTGGAAAGCCGCTCAATTCCAGACACAACCAAGTCTTCAGAGTAGAGAAATGGACAAGCCACTATTCCATCCTCAGAGACCGCCACCGTTCAAAGAGGGAGACAAACATGGCAGCAGTCCCGACTCAAGGTATGACATGCAAACCTAGTGCTACTGGGGAAATAACAGTGACACTGGAGAAGGGGGAGCAAGGGATGGGAATGGATGGCTTGTCACAGCAGGCGGGGTCAGGGGTAGGTGCTTTCCAAAGGGGCAGACAGCAGATGGCAGAGAGAAGCACAATGCCATCTATTTTGGGGAATGTTAGAAGATGGACATTTTGTCCTGAAGGATAAGTTCTAACTCTCCTCTAGAGGGTGGAGGGGAAACATCATTCATAGAGTTACAAAGTATGATAGGGGCTTAGAAGGTTCTTTATACTTTTCCACAAATTATCTTTGGTTGTCCCAAATGATTAGATATATCTTCCATGTATAATTTATCTCTCTAAAGAAGAATATAAACTTGGAAGGCAGAAAATAAGTTCATGCTCTCCAAATGCCTCAAGACCCTCAGCACAGTATTTGATATGTAGTGGGAATTGTAGGAATATTTTAATTTCATCACCAGCTATTATCCTAGCAGTTGTATGCCCAGTGTTTAGATAGAACTTTAAGCATCTGTTAGAAGAATTGAACAATGCTGAGTCAAGACAAAATGGAAAAGATCAGCATGTTTTGCAGAGATGTTCTGGCTTAGTAGTTTTGCCTCTAGAACAATTTTATTTGCTATTAAAAGACAATTTAGCACAATTTGTTTCAAAGTGTCATATCTTAGCATTTTTATAGTTGTCAATAATTGGACAGCCAACACAAGCATGGATTGATAATGATGGCTGTTGGATTTGCCTCTCAGAACTGCTTGGGGGGGGGGCATCCTCCGCACACTGGCCACCCCTGTCCTTCTACAGTCTATTGAGTAGGACAATAATTATGATCTGATGACATCCTTTTTCAGTAGAGTCAGTATGCCCTGGTGATCAACACTGATGGTTAATCCCAAGAAACGGAGGGAAAGAAAGTGGAGATGGAAAGTCAGCATTACCATTCATCAACGTTATGGCAGCGGTGACAACTTATGGTTATTTTTGGAGGAGTCAGAAAAGCAGAAAAGAGTGGGATGTGAAGAACCAACCCAAGAATCCACTCCAATGAACAAAACTCACTGAGCTTCCTGTTCATGCTGAGGGAAGAAAGAAAGTAAAAACCGGTCTGATTTGGGGAAATCTAGGCAGACGTACACAGAGACAAAAGTGTGCAAACATAAGATGTGAAGAATTTGACAAGAGCACGCGAAGATGCTGGCGACAGAGAAGAGGACCAAGTTAGGGAGATGGCACAGAGGGTGAAGTGCGCCAGGCAAGCATGAAGCCAGGTATAGCAGGGCACACTTGTCATCCTGGCATGGAGGAGGAGGAGCCAGGAGGGCCAGTGAGTGCCAGGCCAATGAGGGGACCTGTCTCACAAAAGAAGGTGGACAGCTCTGAAGAATGACATCCAATGTTGACTTCTGGCCTCATACAGACATGAACATATGTATAGCATACATACTGCACACATGTCAACATCAACATACATGTAGGTACATACATACACATACAAAGAAGAAAGGAAAGGGATCAAATGAAAAAGATGCTGAAGAGGATAGAGTGAAAAACAGTAACACTTAGAATGTCCTTGAGTGGTTCTTTGCCTCCTGATTACTTATCTGGGGTGCTAACACCTGTTGCCATGTGCATTCATTTTTGCTTATTGGTGGCCATGGTGGTAGGCAGAGTATGCGCCTCCTATTCATAATTTCACTGACCATGATCTTGTTCTCTTGCTTATAGGTGGAGAGACATGTGCCAGTGGTCTTGCTGTCCATATTGTTTGTCTTAGAGAGGAAAACAAAAAGGAAAGGGCCATCTGAAGAACAGCAAATCCAATAGTAATGGGCAGGGAGGGCACACACAGGCCTAGAGGCGCTATGTGCTCTAGGTGACCGAATCTGTGGAGAGAGATATAGAACTCTGTTCCAATAAGAGCACAATTCCCCAAAGCCACTTCACTTGGTCAGGGCCCTATGTGTGATTGGTGTTTAGCTAATATTTCTCACGCTTTGGTTTGGAGACTCACTCCATTCCTGGTCTTCCTTTGAGAAACAGTCTAGATCCAGCCATGGTGCTGTAGGTCTCAGCTACTCCTGAGGCTGAGGCAGGAGGATAGCTCAAGCACAGACACTCAGGGCAAGCTCAGGAACACCTGTGCACTCCATCTCACAACAACCACCACCACCACAGTGTCTTACACCATCTCATCACCACCACCACCACCACCACAGTGTCTTACACCATCTCACCACCACCACCACCACCACAGTGTCTTACACCATCTCACCACCACAGTGTCTTACACCATCTCACCACCACAGTGTCTTACACCATCTCACCACCACAGTGTCTTACACCATCTCACCACCACAGTGTCTTACACCATCTCACCACCACAGTGTCTTACACCATCTCACCACCACAGTGTCTTACACCATCTCACCACCACAGTGTCTTACACCATCTCATCACCACCACAGTGTCTTACACCATCTCACCACCACAGTGTCTTACACCATCTCACCACCACAGTGTCTTACACCATCTCACCACCACAGTGTCTTACACCATCTCACCACCACAGTGTCTTACACCATCTCACCACCACAGTGTCTTACACCATCTCACCACCACAGTGTCTTACACCATCTCACTACCACAGTGTCTTACACCATCTCACCACCACAGTGTCTTACACCATCTCACCACCACAGTGTCTTACACCATCTCACCACCACCACAGTGTCTTACACCATCTCACCACCACCACCACCACCACCACAGTGTCTTACACCATCTCACCACCACCACAGTGTCTTACACCATCTCACCACCACAGTGTCTTACACCATCTCACCACCACCACAGTGTCTTACACCATCTCACCACCACCACAGTGTCTTACACCATCTCACCACCACAGTGTCTTACACCATCTCACCACCACAGTGTCTTACACCATCTTATCACCACCACAGTGTCTTACACCATCTCACCACCACCACAGTGTCTTACACCATCTCACCACCACAGTGTCTTACACCATCTCACCACCACAGTGTCTTACACCATCTCACCACCACAGTGTCTTACACCATCTCACCACCACAGTGTCTTACATCAGTCTGGGGATGTCGCTGACAGCTACCGTCCCATCGTGCGTCTCGCTCTCCCCGTCCTCTTCCTCCTCCTCGCTGCTCTCCGACTCCTCGCTGGAGGAGGAGTAATCAGTCACTTTCTTCAGTGGACGGTTTGTTTCTTCAATCCGGAGTTCTCTTAACTCTTTGGCTAATGCCGTCAGATCCTAGGAAAGAAAAGTTGGTAAGCACACGAAGCGTAGTTACAACCAAAGCTGCATCTCCCGGCCAGTCATTGTTCCAGATTAAGCCACAAGAAAAAAGAAAGAAAGAAGCTCTGTAGAGAACTGTGACAAACACAGTTACCGTATGGAACTAAGAAAATGATGCTTGTGGTGTGGAGAAGCTAAGAGACGGGAGGTGAAATAAATTCAAACTTGGTTCAAAAACAATAGCTAGACCGGGACTGACTGTGCACATGTGTGTGTTGGACCAGGACTGACTGTGCATATATGTGCGTGCCGTGCTGTGTGCATGCGCATACATACAAACACTGTGTTTTCTTTTGAGAGCGTGAGGTTGGTCGCCCCCAGAGTTGAATGGGAAAATAAACGGGATTAAAATTTGTTCCCCAAGTATTGTGGATTTCCTGGCCAAAGCCCTGACGGTGGCCTTTCCTCTCTTGTGAGGGCTACTGGACCCAAATCTAGCATCGATCGTAGAAGAGAGCGGTTGCCAAGGTTCATTTGGTGTGAAGTCATTCCCCAAAGAACAAAGGTACCACATCAAGTGACAGCCCACCCCAAATCCTAGTGCTACTGAAATTTAGAGCCACAGGAATAAGTTAATCAAGAGGAACAACAAACAGACAGACAGACAGACAAACAAACAATCAGTTCTCTTCCAGAACGACAGGTGTTTCATTTTTAAGTTTTAAATTCCAGTCACCTGGCAGAAACCCTTACAAGAAATGCTGAAATGAATGTTTAAACACCCAAAGGAAGAGATAGTTTTCCAGTTTTCCATGAGTGTGATGAAACCTTAGCCTTATGGATGTGATGAGGCAGGACTTAGTCACCAGGCATAGTGCAAGACAGTGTGCCGAACGTCTGACTACCTTTAATGGACATGCTTTCAGAGCAAGGCGGAGGGAGGCAGTTCTGCAGAAGCATGGCCGCTCTACTTTGCATGGGTTAAACTGCCCATGGCACGAAGCATGCAAATGAGGAAAAAGCAATTTGACATTGGTCTTACCATTTCTCCCTATTTAGGGACCCATGTGGGAATCAGAGCATTCAGCGAGAGACAGGGAGTTAGGGAGAAAGAAACTCATTGAAAAATACTAAATCCCACATTTTTCCCCCAAAAATAATTGGCCATATTCTCTCTTTATTTCAGTCCAGAAATGTATTTGTCCAATTCACCTGATGTATGATTAATCTCAGTGACATAAATGATGTTAGGTCATTGATCCCGATTAGAAGAAAACCTCTGGTACACATGCATAGTTAATGGTAATTCACTTCCAGGCCCCGCACGCCATGTGCTGTGCACTGCGGCCGCACGGCAGGCCAACACTCACAGAGCAATCACTTCAGTGCTTCACTGAAATTTAGAGAACTCAAGCTGTCAAGTGAATGAGTCAGAGTCGTTTCCTTTAATGTCTCAAATGGACAGCAATATGTCCTGAACTAAGGCCCCATGAAGGGGAGGTCGCAGGAAATCCCACCCACACATTCTACTCGTAAACACACTTGCTGGGGCTTCCCATACATGCACACTCCCTCAAACATATAACCCCAGTCTCCGCCGTCTGTGAAAGTGAATCTAGAGTCAGATCCAAAAGGCTTCGCAATGTTTAGAGAAAACATCCTAGGAGAGGGGCGAGCCTCCACACACACAGAATTTTATGCACATTTACTTCTCATTTCTTAGGCAATGCACCCAACCAGGAAAGGCTAACATCCAGCTTTCACCCTTCTGTATATTTCCTCTTGATTGCTGCTGATACATTCGACTTTGTCAAACAAAAAGAGTATGAAGAACATGCTAGATGGGTACAATGGGGACAAACTGTTGACAGATTTGTCAAGACTCTGAAAGCAAGAGGACATGGTGAGCTTCCAACTAGCAAAAATGACAAATCAGACACATTTATCGCATATGTAGATTTTTATAAGGTAAGACTATCAAAGAATATAACTGATATTTAAAATGTTACTTATCATTAAAAACTAAGCTTTATTATAATTTAAAGAGAGAATATGGTTTAAAGGAGCTTGTTTCTACTATCAAAAAGTCTGAGTAAAACATAATACTACCACTATGACTTATTTAAATTAATGACACATTTTTCCCCAGGCATGGCTTCCTTATCTCTGACAGTTCAGGACAAGATAAGAGAAAGAGATGAAAAAAAAAAATCCAATCTATTTAGAATTATTTAGTAAGTCCATAACCCAATAACAACTTCAAGAAAGTTTCACTTGTTAAAATGACCTACATTTCCCTAAATATTGTATTTATTAACACTTTAAAATTATGACCTGCTTTATAATTTTGGTTTTAATCAGAATTTTTTATTTCTGTATTATTAAAAAGCTCTTTCCTGAAACATTAAAAATAAATTGCAAATCTATTTCAGTTTAATTGGTAACAGCTTGGAGAGTGGGACAGAAATGAAAATTTCAAGGTAGCAATAATGAGTAATCAAAAGCGATGCCCCTGAAGAAAATCAATCTCCCGCTCCGGGCGCCTCTGAGGCTAGCTGAACTTTCGTTCCTCGTACGCTCGTGATGAAGCGACTGGATGATATTGAAGTTGCAGGATTAGACATGATGCAGTGTTGTCACTGCTGGATTTGGATGCATTTTCATGCACTTTATTCTCTGACAATTCCAATTTCCTCTATCTAATGAGCCTTTCATGGTAATTTATTGCTTGGCTGTCTCAAGCCTGAAGCTAAAAAGCATTAAAAAGGGGAATAAAAGTGCTATTTAGCATGAAAATATTTGAGAACATATTAACTAAAGGAGAGATATGGCAAAATACTTCATTCTTCTTCCCTGAAGTGCTAACGTGAAGGCAGTAGGCGGCTCACGTCCAAAGGGTCTCGGGTGCAGCGTTTCTTAGCTTCCTTAGGACTTCACTTTGCATCCTGGCGAGCCTGTTTCTTCGGACAATTATATAATGTCTTGCTTTAAAATATGCTCATTTAGGTTTCTTCTTTTGAAATAATATAGTTGATTCAAATTTTACTTCAACTGGTTGAGCCATTGTATTGTGAGAGAATTTTAATGTGGTTTTTCTTTTATGTGTTAAATTTTCCCCTTTTAAGGAAAGTTAAGGAGTGATACCAGCTCGTCCTTAACCTCAGCAGGCTCATCTGAAGGAAAAAGAGTCCAGCTCACTAATTACTACTTATTTTTCAATAAAATAAGTGATTTTAGAATTTTTCAGTTTTTTAAATCCCAATAAAAACCTAACCCACACCCCAGTGTTTGCACATAGACTACATGTTACACATTCAGTTATGGGAATGTAAAGGGTGTGTGTTTACAAAAGTTATATTAAATAATAGTGTTGCAAAATTTCATAGTGAAGTAGAAAGTAATGTTAAATTTATGACTACCTTTTGGGATTTATTGCTATGAAAAATTAAACTACTGAATTACCAATAACAAGAAATACGTTTTAAAAAGGCGTTTAAAGACTCATTTGAATTTTATTCTGGGTCATCCAAGTAGGAAAACAGTTGCAGAAGGCAAGTCATATCAACACCTAGGAATGGAGATGGGTGGCAACGCTGAGGTCAAGATTTCCCACCAGTGGCTCCTGTAACATGGGCCCAGGGGACCTCTTCCTGTGAGGAACTGCCCCGTGTGCTGTAGGATGCTTAGCTCCACCCTTTTAATGTATCCACACTGCCAGTAGCTTCGTCTCCTGCTTTAAGTGTAACCACTACAGTTGACTTCAGATTTTTGCTGAGGAGCTCCTAAATAAAAGAAGGGCAGCAATCATGACTAAGAGCTGCCGCGTTAGGCAGGACCATCTTCCTATGTTTTGAGTGGTCCAGGCCAGGGATACCCAGGAGTCAGTTGACTGGGGGCATTGGCTCTGATACACAGCTCCGGAGATTTTGGCATGAAGTCGTCTACCCTCTCATCTCTATCCGGTGTGGTAGAGCAGACCAAAATAAATGAAGCGATTTTCAAAAAGCCTGGAACATCCAGGGTTAACCAGAGGAGACCTAGGAGAGCTCTTTTCCTCATAGAAGCCACCTCCATACCGATGTCTGGACCCTTAAGTTGTTCATATGAATACTACTTTATTGGCACCTCTAGTACCCAGGACCACAAAATAATTTTCTTTCTTTACCTGCTCTGGGTGACTGATAAGTTGGGATAGTCCCTCCATCTTGCCACCACTATGAGGGAAAAGCAAGGCCATGGTGCAGAGTGACTATAAACAGTCCCATGCTGTAGACATGTGGGGGAGCAGTACTTTATAAACAGCAACCCCTTAACCAGGAAAGTGACTTTCTGATCACTATGAATGGTGTGGTGGTCACAGCTTTGGTGAAAAACAGCTTCACAGAATCAAATTTCCCTACTTGCAAAGTTAGTTCTGTGCCTATGGGTCAAATCTGAACAGTTACATTGGCTTTCCACAGCACTTTCACTTTAAAAAAATGCCTTTGTACACAGAGCCTAGGACCCTAAAGAAGCGGTGGGTAAAGGCAGGTTGATGTTTTTATTCCCATTTTACAGACCAGAAAACTGACTGAGATTATGAGACTTATCCTAGCCAGTATTCACTGAGGGGAACCAAACTTTAAATGTAGCTTGCTGATCCCCGAAGCCAGTGCTTTTTCCATATAATTTCACAAAATGTACTTTGCAGAGCTACAGCCTCAAAGCCATAATGGTGAGCCTCACATTCCATGCATCCGGGACTCTGTGAGGCCTGCCTGTATGGAACCGTTCCACTGTGCTGTGTTCATGCAGGCCTGACAGACAGCGAGGCGGCCGTCCTCAGCAAGCTGTCTACAAGGGACAAAGCCATGTGCTTTTCTAGTAGGAAAATGTCTCCACAGATAAGGACCTAGATCACTCAACTCACCCAGGTTCAGTAGCTAAGGCTAATGTTGTTTGTGGTGTTGTGAGTGCCCCACAAAATTAATCTAACAGTACACTTTAACTCCTGTTCACAAATCACACACTAGATATTTGGGATGTGCTAGAATTCTGTCTCTTTGTTTTGTTAGCAGAACTGCTGAGAGCCATCTCCTAGCAAGGATGCTGAACACAGGTTTGTTATTAGAAGGTACCGGAAGGAGAGACCGCACCGTTAACAAAACACTAGTACCTGTTGTTTGCCTAGATGGGATATTGGGAAAGCAATGTTTTTGCTTAGTGAAGAACCCTAAAGCTTTCCATGGGTACATCTGAGGGTCTCAGGCTGGCTCTGTTGAAGGGGCTCTTCCCCCCAAACAATGCTGTATGTAAGAGGGCTTTCCAATCCCACTGGCCTCTTTTCTGTATGTCCACATCAGGAAATGGGTTTAATATTCACATCTTGTGAAAGCATGACCAAGAAAAGGTGGTACTGACCTCATCTATAGCTTTCTTATAGCTCTGTGACAAGAGGAAACCAGTCCAGAGAGTCCACAGGCAGGGAAGGCCGGAAGAAAAGAGGCACGTTAGATACAGCATGGGCATGGTTAGTAGAAAACTCACACAAACAGGCAAAGAGAAGTTCAAGCCAGACCATGCACATTCCTTCATTATTACTTAGCATCCTCCTTACTTTCAGATGAAGGAGGCAGTATATGAAGGTGACATTCATTCCCAGAATAGTGTCTCAGAATGTCCAGATTAATTTTCTACTTTCAGCCAGTATGATCTTTTTTTCTTCCTTTAGTTTTAGGGTTTATTTATTTGAGACAATATTTCATGTATCCTAGACTGGCCTTGAACTCATTATTTAGCCAAAGATGACTTTGAACTTCTGATTGCCTTACATACTGGTATTAAAGGCATGTGCCATCATGCCTGGTTTCTGCAGTGCTGGGGATCAAATCCAGGGCTTCATGTGAGCAGAATGAGCACTTAATTACATCCCCATCCCACAGTCTTTCTTTCTCTCAAGCTGCTTGGTGTCAGGTCCAAAGGAAACTGCACGCCCTAAACTCTGGCACCTCTACCAAAGCAGCTAGAGGGGACAAATGGCTATCTATGGTGCCTATCAGCTCCCTTATCATCACAACTCCCTGTGGCTCTTCTCAGCTCTTATCACCCTGTCCTTTCCCAAACTTCTCCAGCTCCCAGGCTTCCCTTCCTCTGGCTTCTCATTCCCACCGAACCCTGCCGTTTCCGCTGGGTGCTCTGGTCTTTCCCTCTCGGCTGCCCTCCTGCTCCTCTCTCTTGGGGTCCTCTGCCCGCACCCCTTGTCCTCTCCATCACTCTCCCCCGCCCTCCTCTCAGGGCCCGGTCCACTCTGCTGGCCATGTGCAGTGTACCACTTCTCTCCCTGCTCTGGACTCCTCCAGACGCCTCTGGCTGTTCTGTCCTCATATCTACAATAGAAACATACCTCGGAGCAGTCAGCCCTCAATTTATGCACTTGGGTCCTTCATGTTCCAGCAATGACTCTGGATTTCAAGTCTGTGTCACATCATACTTAAAAAGTTTTGGTCCAGAAAAGACTAGTCCATAAGGCATGACAAGTAGTGAAGAACCTGCCTGCCTCCATCTTAGGCTTGAAAGCCATCTTATAGTAAAGACAACTAGGCTCATTCCTGTTTATGATTAAATCTGTTTCTCAAGGATTGGGCTATGCCCCACCTGTAACCTTAACTACAAATGGTTCTGTACTGCATGTTCCAGGAATGGCAATCATGTCTGTGTTTCAAAAGCGTTAATAACCATCTACCATCTTGCAAACCTATCTTTGTTCCAAAAGGTTATATGACCACCTATGACTACCTGTTGTTATGACTACCTATTGTTATGACCACCATGCTATGCCCACCCTGCAACCATGTCTTTGTTTCAGGAGGTCCAAAGTCAGTGGAAGCAGCCCCAAATCCGTTCAGTCCCCCACCTTATCAGGTATGACTTCCTTCTAGATGCTTCTAGCATACAGTGTTTCTAGTTATCCTCAGTTTTTTGCTTTGAGTCATGAATGTAGCCCCAACTACCTTATCTAAAATTAGGCTCTAGTTTTTATTTATTTAATGGGAACAACCAGAAGAATCAACCATATGTCTTTAAGGCAAAGGTATTTTCTTCTCTTCTTTTCTCAGGTAAGGAAAGACATAGAAATTCTTAGGAAGAAAATCACTCACAGCTGGCCGACTGGGCCGGGTGATGTCTCTGGATTCTTCAGGTTTCACCTTGGTGGGCTCGTGGGGGAGCACAGGTGATCCCTCTGACTTACTGTTGGCTAGAGAAAAGAACAGGGACAGGAAAGACAGGACATGCGTTAGAAGAGGCTGCTCCACATTCTGAGTGAGTGCCTTCGGAAGGACGACTCACTAGGCCAATCCATGGACACCAATGGAAAAACAACATATGCTCAGAAACCAGTCAGACAACTGAGGCCTGAAACCTAGAAGTCAACAGTGAAAACGAAAACCTGCAGTCACTACCAAGTGCTGACCGTGTAAGAGGCATGGCACCAAACGCTTTCTCTGTCGATTATTGCAATTATTCCCTGTTCCAACCCAATGGTGCAGCACCATTTTCTCATTCTCCAGATGAGCAGAGACACACTGAGCTCAAGGTGACAATGAAGTCATGGATTTAGTTGGGATTCTTCCTGAATTTTAAAAGTCTTCTTAATCGTTATTTCAAATGAGCTTATAAATTAAAATTTTAGGCTTGTTTTCTTCTTTTATTATCTATTCATCAGAACAGGTTATTCTGATTGAAGTTTATGAAGAATAAAAAGAGTTTTATTTGATAGAACAGGTTTAAAAGGGGGCTGAGAAATGTCTGAGATCTTTAAGGAAGAAAGAATTGTTGTGGAATATTATTTTAAGATGTGTTACTTTTGTTTACGTTGCATCTGTTTAACTCCGTGAAGCTGTGTTACTGTGCCTGTCTAAAACACCTGATGGTCTAATAAAGAGCTGAACGGCCAATGGCGAGGCAGGAGAAAGGGTAGGCGGGGCTGACAGGCAGACAGTATATATAGAAGGAGAGGATGAAGGAAAGAATATAAGAGTTAAGCCTGAACTAGAATTAACATGGTATGTGCAATCCTGATTTTCTTTATGATTTTCTCTAAGGATGCAAAGACTCCAATGAACAAAAAAAAAAAGCTGATGGAATGGCAGTTTTCTAGAACATCTCTGTCTGGATCAGTGCTGCAAAGACACATGGTGCTCTGGTATAGGCCACTGATGTCAGAGGAAAACTGAGTCAGTGGTGGGTCAAGCAATGTCTTAGCTCACAGTCATGGGTGTCACATGGTAGATCTGAAGTTTAATCAAATTGGATATACAGAGATTTTACTTCATTGACACCTAGAAGATTAATAGAGGAGGCAAATTATGGTTGTGTCTACTAAAGGGGCCACTAAGGAACTTGTGGTTTCTTTAAGGGAGAGTGATTTACCAGCATATTAGTATTTATCAAATTGTACTTCAGAGTGTCTGGTGAGCAAATTTACCCTCCGCAGAAGTGACTCAAAAAAGAGCAAATTTGCACTAGTTAGAAGAGGGTTTTGCTAGGTATTAATTCATTGTACTATAGTCTTTCCACAAGTTTCTTCACTAGTGAAAACTAAGCAATGACAAATGCTTTGAACTAAACATTAGGCTCTAGTTTTTATTTATCTAATGGGAACAACCAGAAGAATCAACCATATGTCTTTAAGGCAAAGGTATTTTCTTCTCTCTCGTGTATTTATTTTATATTGGCTTTTAGGAAATTTCATTTTGAGAAATACCTAAGATTATGAAGCTTGAATCTGAAGGGATGTCTGGCACCTTGGGAACAAGAGAGTGGGGTGCACAAGAATGAAAAGGAGGAATCAAATGGAAATGGACATTTGGGGAACTGGACAGTTACCATATTTTGCAATAGGACTGCTACTAGATATCTGCCTGGAGAACACTAGGAGCTGAAAGTAGACAGGTCTGTTGTTCACACTTGGATGACTATGCACAGTTAGGGACAGTAGCCCAGACCCTTCAGGAGATACAAGCATGAGACCCCCCTGCTGCCAGAGTTAGGAAGTAGCCACTCCTTTCTGTCTGTGGCTTTCCTCCTAGGCATAAGAGTATGGGGACAGTTAAGAGAACACTTACCTCGAACTCTGGTTCGTTCACTAGATCCTGCTTGTGACCCAGGCTGAGAGCCTCCTTGGGAGCTGGGCTGGGAGCTGGGAGTGCTGGAGCTGGAGGAACTGCCACTGCTGGTCCTCTGCAGGGGGCTCTCCAGGATGGGCTCTGTTCTGCGGAGATCAGGATTGCTGCATGGACAGCAGAACACATGGCTACAGGTCAACATCCAAAATATACAGGGCACTCGCTTAACAACTCAGTAGCAAGAAAATAAATAACCAGATTTTAAAGACGAGCTAAGGACCCAAAGAGACATTAGAAAAAACAACCCGTACATAAAAATGCTCAGCATCACCTTACACTTATTAAAATGTTTTTCTCAAAGAGAGGAATGATAACCATTGCTGCTGAGGATGCTGAGAAGGATAACCTCGTCGTCCTCTGTTGGTAGGATGCAAATTAGTGTAGCCATTATGGAAAATGTTATGGTGATTCCTCCAAGAATTACAAACAGAGCTACAACATGACCCAATAATTCTGCTTCTGTATATATCTAGAGGAAATGAGGTCCATTGTGTTGAAAAGATGGATGCATTCACTGTTGCATTATTTACAGCAGCAAAAGATAGAATCAGTATATATCCATTGATGTGCAAATGGATAAAGAAAATGTGATATATATATATATATATATCACATATATATGGCACATATATTCTACACATATGCAAGCCCTCAAGAAGACATGTACTGTATGATCTCATGTATGGGTAGGCACAACTCAGAGTAGCAGAGAGTACAGTGTGGATTATTAGCAGCTGTAAGGTTTGGTGTAGGGACAATGAGATGTTAAGCAAAGAAAGGTTTCAGTTAGACAGGATAAACAAGCATTTGAGATCTATTGTATACTGTGGTGCCTTTATTTAATATGTATGATGAAAGTAGAATTTCTTTTGAGAAAAGATCTTATTATATAGATTACTGCAGCACCACAAATAGCTTTGAAGTAGATCCTAAATGTTCTCATCACAAAAAATGGTAACTATTTGAGCTCACATCACAATTTATACATCCATCAAAATATCACATGGTAAATATAAATATATGTAATTTTAATTTTGTATACATTAATAAGGCTGTTATTATTGTTATTATTAATAAGGCTGTTGCTATTGGTAGAGACTTCTGAGATCCTGAAACAAAGGGGTCAAGGGAAGATGGAAACTATGCCTTCCTGGTGGAGCTATGGCCAGTCTCTGGAAGGGGAGATGCTGGAAAGGATAGACGCCAGAAAGGTAGACGCTGGAAGGGTGGATGATGAACTCCAAACGCAATTCTTGGGTCAACACACTAAAAGTACCAGCTCTCAGATAAGGAGCCCTAAGAGGAGACCTTCCTTTAAACAGCTCTTCTGGTATTCATTGTAGACAACTTGAAATATATGAAAAGGAAAAATGAGGAATACCACATACAATTCCCAAGCTAGGAAACAGTCAACCATATTTTACTATTTGGCAAATTATCAAATGTTCAATTTTATCTCTTACTTTTTGCTTCCTAACACTATATGGTGAGCACTTTATTATGCTCTGAAAAGTGCTAGCTGCAAAATAACCCATCATATAGACAAATTTGTTTGGTTATCCCTCTAGTGTTAGTCATTTATGGGGCTTCCAACACATTTCTATGACAAGTAACACCGAACTAACCATCTGTCTGCACACTGAAGCTCAACTCTCTTTTCTAGTTTTGGAATTCTTTGTTGAAAGCTCATGAATTCTGTGAACACATGTATATGCAGATACATAACGGTCTTAGCAATTTCCACTACATGATCATTCTTTTCTCTGAATTTGTGTGTGTGTGTGTGTGTGTGTGTGTGTGTGTGTGTGTGTGTGTGTGTGTGATTGGTGACCAGAAGTAGGTGTCAAACACCCTGCAGCTGAAGTTACAGGTGGTTGTAAAATACCTGATGTGGATTCTGGGAGTTAAACTCTGGTGCTCTGTAAGAATGGCAAGTGTTCTTAACGGCCGAGCCATCTCCTCAGGCCCTCGTGTCCATCTTATTGACCACAAAGAGCAGCATTTGTTCACTCCCTCAGTGTTATCATGGTAGGAGTGACCAGGCAGCTGAGACAGAGCAGTGACAGGACACAGTGCATGTCCTCTGTGAATCTTGCTAGGCACACAGATCTTTGCATTGCTGCTTACCCTGCAGTGAAAGACAGGGTGACGGGTAAACATGGAGGATGCCTACCATCACCCCATGACGGCACGTGAGGAGGGAAGAGAGAACCTTCTGGCAATGGTGGTGGAGGCGCTGTGGAAGGTTTTATGATTTTGTTAATAATAAACAGCATTCTGAGCTTCTGTAGTGTTTTTCCCTTTTGGTTGATAATTAAGACCTCTCTTCATTTGCCCATTAGATTTGTACAGTTCTGGACAGGGATAATGAGTGATATGTGAGAGTCAAAGCTCCAGCTTGTTGCCAGCCATTTGCTGAGAGGGGAAACAGATCGAGCCCCATCTCCCTCATTTCCAGCAGCTCTAGTTCTCTAAAGGCCCTGAACATTTTTGTGAAGGAGACGCTGCGATGCAGCGTGCCAGTGCAGGATGTGTTGCCTCAAGTGAACTAAGAAGCTTTCTTTCGCTCTGACTGACTCAAGAGTACCTTGTGCACCAGGTTCTGGGCCATGTGTCGGGTCCCATATAGAGTTGAAAATAACACGGTCCTCATGCTGAGGCATTTGTAGCTCACCCTACCCATGGCCTTGCCACAAAATGTCTAGTTTTGTAAGCAAAAGTAACACATACGATTTTTTTGTTAGTGTATTTTTAAAAAGATAGCACACAAAAGTAATGGGCTTCATTTTGGCATTTTCATACATGCTTGTAAGACACATCTTGCTTTGTGGTGTTATGTCTGCCCAATTCATGGCTGAGTCGAAGTGGCTAGCAACCATGTGTAACTTCAGTGGCAAATATATGTAAAAATAATCATGCCTCACAATTGATCAATTTTGATGATATGAATTTAGAATTTATGACAACATTTACTCTTCAGGCATTTGTGGGAAGTGGGCGCTAATTCAACTCACCAGTAAAGCCATCTAACTGCAGAGTGACTGTTGGTGAAGCTCATGAAAATCAAGAATTCTTGTTGTAATAACGGCACTCTTTAATGGAACATAACTATTTTTGTGAGAACTGTTTGTATCTAAGGGTCGAAATAATCTTGGGTCTCATGTGCAAATACCCCTAAATTAGAAAATACTCAAAATGATCAATACTTCCTTCCTAAGTATCTTACATGGTAAATTTGTTATTTTTCCTAGAAAACAATTGTCTCTAATCCTCAAATAATAGCTTCTTTCCCACTGTTCTCTTTTATGAAACAGTGGTGGTCCGAAAATTATTAATAAATTACTAAATTGTTTCTTTTTAATTTCATTACTAACCAAATATTGACCAAGAGTGGTGGGTTGCACTAAAGTTTCTTATACTGCTAGATTTTGTGGAATAATGATGTCATCTTCTTTGTACTAGGGAAATATTGTGAGAATGGTGGAGTACATGCTCTGAGATGTCCTCAAAGTTGGCTGTGGTGTTGTGACAGTATTCGGTTACTTGCTCTATTTACCTTTCCTTTGATGCCTCAGTCAAATTCTTGTTGAATCACATCTAAATTGAGTCTTATTGGATCAAGATGAAGGCTGGAGAAGGTCAGGTCAGGAGGTGTCCTGTCAAGTGACACTATCACCATGGCAACAAGATGTATGTGACAGAGACAAGAGTTAACAGTTAATAGCAACTCCGGAAGTAATGTGAAAAGAGACTATATATCCCATTGGTGTTTGGGGTAATTCACACACACCAAGGGGTTGTGGGTGGTGGTGTAAAGGAGTGAGGCCTACTGGGATTTGGTATAGTATTAGAAAGTCTGGATATAGCCTGCATGGTGACAAAAGCTGGTGTCTTTCTTGTGCTTGTCATATGGATGGATGTTAAGCAGAGGCTAGCAGGGCAGTTCACCAAGTCTGTGGTAGGAAACAGAAAGTCAGCTGGACCGAAGAGAAGCATGGTTGGACAGCATTAGCTGTTAAGGTCTGCTACCCACCTCCCATGATGGGCCCAGTGTGCGTGCCTGGTTAGGAGAAAAGCATGAACAGTCAGACGAAGGCTGTGGGCATGCTAGGGGTCTGGGCTATTTGCAGAACTGTCTGGGATGCACATGCATCTTTGATGAAACTCAGTTTCTTCCTGTGTGAGGCTAATTAGATCCCATGAGCATTAATTTCCTGCCTTAGGGCTCATTAGCATAAGTCCTCTCTACTCCAGCTCCCCGTCACAGGTGCTGGCCTTCATTCTTGTCGCTGAACACTAAAAGAAATATTTAGTGTCTCTATCACCACACAGAAAAATAAGGGAACTTAATGTCTTTTCTACCTTACTTCCATTTTCTTAAAAATATGAGTAATGTGAGAAAATGCCATATGATATTTTTTCTTCCTTGTTATATATATATGATCTGTCTTATGGGCTGAGGGATCTGAAATAAATGCTCATAGAGAGAGGTTCCACTTCAGAATTCTACTAACTAACAGGTTTCCCTTGTTCACATATTAACTAAGACTACTTGGATCCAAGCATGCAGAAACTTTAAAAATTCCTAAAACATTTCTTTAAATGTAACTTTTAGTTCATACTTTTTCTATCCAGCAAACAAAGATGTTTGCTCTACAAGATAACATTGAGAGAATTTGTGACAATTATTCTATCTACTTGAACTGTATAAAAAGTCAAAACAGAAAAATGAGGATTACAAAGTGATTTTGTATCCAAAGCCTTGGGCCAAGTCTTTAATTAACTGGCTGACTGCCAAAATTCTCTTTACTTTGTTCTTTGATAACATGGCTAATAAGAAAAAACTAGTCCTAAGAAGATATGTTTGGGATGGGGCAGGGAATTATTTTCTGAGACTAAACATTTAGTCATTGGTTTTTTTAGACTGGGTGTTTCTGACTATTTAAATCTTTTCATATTTCAAAAGTACTTGTTTGAGCAAATTTTAATTTGGTTTAAAAAGAACACATGGATCAAAGCGAAATATTAAAGTGCCTGGAAGTTTGAAAATAGCAATATTTTTACAAAATCAACTACAACCTTCCTTTAAACTCTCCTGACCACCCTCATAGGTGAGGCCATTGGCATCCAGGAGCAGGTGGGCCCTGCCTGTGGAGCTTGAGCTTAAGGAATACCCAATTTCCTGGGTAGGAAACTGTGCCCCCGCCCACCTCCACCCCTAGAGGGAGCTGTCAAAGTATGAGATGGCATGGTTCCTAGAGGAGTGGGGAAGCTCTGGGGGATACAAGGAAGTTCCACAGGCTCCCACCTTTTAAAGGATAGTGCAACAGGGTGGAGAGCAGAGCCTTCAAGGTTAGGAGAGACTGCTAACAGACCTGTAAGCTACAGGGTGAGAAAGGTAGAGACAAAACAGTGCCCTGTCAATCACAGAGGCAAGAGTTCTCGAGGCAGACTACCAGAGTTCAAATCCCAGTCTAAGCACTTCTTCTTTTGACACACTGGGCAATTTGTTTTGTTTACTTCAGCTTTCCATCTATAAAATGAGGGTGATGAAAAGTCTTGCCTTGGAATAGCTAGATGATTTAAATAGTTAATATTTGTAATGCTAGCTGGCAAGATGGCTCAGTGGGTAGAGACACTTGCTGCCTAATCATGGCAGCCTGAGCTGCCATGGAACCCATAAATAACCAAATCCACTGAGGTGTCTTCTGACCACCCTCACCCCCTGCCAACACAAATAAATTAAGAGTATTTTTAATGCAATGAAAATACTATGTCATACATAGTGCTTCCTTTGAGAGGTATTTATTATACACTGAAATGAATATAAATTGCCTCAGGAACAGAAGACAAGGTCCTAAAAGGCCTGCCCACAAATACTTGCTGTTCTCGGACAGCAAAGGAGTAAGAAAATGGAGAGGTATTCCAATGAGAAGGAAGTGTAGCTAGAATAGTAAGGTTCTGGCTTGCTTGTATTAGTTACACACTCAAGTGCACACTCTGACTCCAGATTCTTCCATTCAGGGCACTACATAGTTGCCATTGATTCAAACCTGTTGTTTTCAAACTGTTATGGAGTATCTCACATTTGACAGTTCCTATGTAACGTCTTGCCCTTAGGATCTGGGATCCACTGTTGTAAGTGAAGGAAACAAAGTACAAGCTTCTTAACTTCCAGGCTGTCTCCTTTCCCTCTTTTGCTTACCTAGCACACAGTTTGTTTCTTATTCACATCAGAATGTTGACAAGGAGAACCACTTTCCTATGTGGTGACACAGAGGCCAGGATCCTACTTTGTTCAAGCTTTACCATCTTGAACTCTGGGTTCCTATGCTGTTCATAAAGAATAAAGAAGCCTTCCTTTTAAGAACAATGCATGTGTATATGTATGTAGAGCTTGTGTGCATGTGGATGAACATATATGTGTGTGTTTATGGAGGCCAGAGTACAACCACAGATGTTGTTCCTCAGGAGTGTCCACCTCTTTTGAGACAGGGTCTTCATTGGCCTGGAGCTCACCATAATTGGCTAAAATGGATGGCCATTGAGCCCCCAGGGATCTTCCAGTCTATATTTGTCCACTGTTGGGATTATAAGCACATTACCACACCTGATATTTTTATATGGGTTCTAGGTATTAAATTTATCCTTTCTTTAAGCAAGTTCATTTACATACTGACTCCAAAGAAAGGTAAGAAAGAGATGAAAGACTTAATTTATTCCCCAAAATATGTGTAGCCCAAAGAACATGAGGTACACTTAGACCTTTGAGCCCTGGTGTCAGTCTCTGGTCACGGGAAACACTTGGTCCCAAGACCACATTATAGTCTTGCACATAGCATGGCATTACTGTATATTAGTTAACTTTAGCAAACAAAATAACAAAGAACATAAAATGTTTTGAATCTGTTCTCTATTATGCTCTGTAATTTTCACTGGAATCTAACTCTGCTAGTATTTTAGTTTCCCTTGAGAATCACTTAAAAAAAGATGGTAAAGAAATAAAAGGAATGTTGACTGAGTATAGAAAATACAGCTTTGAGCATTATAAAACACTCAAATCACTTAAGAGCAACCCCCCTTTTAAAGGCTCCATTGATGAGTGATAAGGCAGATAAGATAATAAGGCAGGAGGCATGAGTCCCAGTTTTGATGCCCCTGTGAAGTTCTTTTCCATGCCCAGGGATTGGCCATGCAACCCACTACAAGGCAGGGGAAATGACCCAAGCAAAGACTTCAAAAACCCTGTGCATTTGTGTTTTCCCCTTTGAAATTCTGATCTGAGATGGACAAAACTGAGCACACCCAGAGGAAAGAGCTTGGGGGCTAAGAGGTACAGCTGAGCGGGCAGCTCAGGGAAGTTGCACGAATGAGCTCAGATCACAGGAGAACTTTTTAGTTCACTTGCAGAACCATGAGAAGTAATGATCAGTCCCTTCAAGCCAACCAAGTGTTGGAGCTGTTTACTTCACAGCAGAGGAAAGGGAAGCAGGGTGTCTCACCAGATGGCTCCATCGTGGTCAGTGCAGCGCTTACTATGCAAAGGTGAGGACCTGAATTTGGAGCCTCAGTAGCCACCTGAAAAGGGCAGGAGCACCATCTGCAACCCCAGTGCTGGGGAGGCAAAGATGGGAGGGTCTCAGGGGCTTGCTGGCCAGTCACCCAAGCTGCATCAGTGAACTCTAGGTTCCGTGAGAGACCCTGCCTCAAAAATAAGATGGAGGGCCACCAAGAAACACACTGAACATTGATGTCTCCACATATCATGGAAAGCTTGTGGGGGTCAGAGGATAACTTTGAGGGGTTCTCTCCTAATTTCACATGGTTTCTGGGGATAAAACTCAGGCTTCCAGGTATATGCAGCAATTGCCTTTAACCTCTTCTAAGAGCCATCTCACCAGCCAGTGATTCACATTTTAAGTGCTGGTCATGAGGAGATGAATGTTGACAGAAGCAAGAGTGTTCTGCAGATTGTCTTACATGAGGGGATGGGGAGTCTCCACCCTCTCACTCCAAATCTTTGGATGTGCATTGTAAGTGGGTAACTGCAAACTCTTAGCTTACTTCCTCTTCGCTGTAAGTAGATAGACGCTGGTAATCTCTCATAAAGTTTACATTCTTTGCACAAAACATAGCATTTAAGTGTCCCAAAGGAAACCCTTACCTCTTTATAAGTTACTGGCCATCAAATACTCATTGTCTTATGCCCTAATGTTGTTGAAAACAACATTTCCAAGAAATTAAACGACTGCTTCTTACTTGACTGTAACAGCAGGTCTTTCTTTTCGGTTGACAGAAGAGAAAAGTACTTAAGGTTGAGATGATGCTTCATCTAAGCAGCCAGATTCTAAGCAACTGACCTAACAAAAATTGCTTCTAGAGCAGGGCTCAAAAGATCAGGAGGCACTGATAACTGAAGATCGATAAAGCTCAGCCTATGTCCAGTGTGTGCATGTCTCTGTTCCCCAGCATCTTCCAGTTCGCCTAGGGTTGCTCAGCCACACCAGCCAGGCACAGATCTGGTGAGCTACAGAAGAACAAGGGGTTCATAGACTCCTACAGTTTGTAGCTCCACTTAGAATGAAGCTGGAATCTTTCCCCCAAAGAGAGTCTAAGTTGAGCACCACCTCCTTTTGGGAATGACCCCTTCCTAAGGCTTTTCAAGGGAAGAGCAAAGAGAATGTGTTACGATCAAAAGCATTCTGTATACAAACAAAACCATGAGTGCCCCCCTTCCCTCTTCATGGTCTTTCTCTCATCATGAACACAGTAAGAAGAAAGCAGCCTGCCCTGGTGCATCCTTTTTATAGCCCCAGCAGAGGCCACTTGCTATTTCAGTGGATCCTAAAAAAGGATGCATTCATCATGACAAATCCAAGGAAACTTGATGAACGGCAGCGACAAACAGCATCTGCTGCCACATAAAGTCTGCCCAGATACTGTGCACACTGTTTACTTCCCAGCATCCCTTGAGACCTCTGCACCAATCAGTGAAAGTTGGATGCAACCTCCTGATATAAGAATATGCACTGGATGGAAAATCCTGAAAGAACAGAGTAAATCACAGAGGCATAACTGTATTTCAGAGACTCTCTATAATGCCACTGGGGTGATTTCCTGATCAATGCTGGGCCTGTCAGATCCAGGCTTTAGTGTTTCTGGAGTCACTTCCTGTTTCCTAGGCAACAGCTTTGTGATGTTTCAGTAGTTCTCGGGTCTTGACCTGGTGCTACAATTCAACTCTGATTTCCTTCTCCTGGCTCCATGAATGGTCTCCAAAGCAATGCTTTGCAACGCCATGACCACATCTGTAAGCAATGGTTTGCAATACAACGACCACATCTGTATTTCTAAGTTTGTACCCAGATTTTCAAAACTGTTATATTGAAGTTATCAAAGGCCATCAGAGCTGACAGTCCAGGTGACAAGCTTCAGAAGTGAAGAAAAGGTCAGGGACGTTCTTTAGGAAAGCAGCTATCTTGGATAATCGTGGTGACCTCCCTCCCCTTACCTTGCTCTGATAGGTTGAGATCCAAGTCTGGGGCCCAGAGCACTGCCATTCCCAGGGGAATTCTTTCTGGCTAATGCTGGGGATATAGAAGTTGTTCTTTGAGGCACCTGGAAGAAAACCAGAAATGAGAAATATTTCCCATAATACAATGCAGGTGGGCTATTCTCTGAGGAGCCTTCTCTTCTTGGAAGACTGGCTAGAAGTTACAGAAGCTGCCTCCTCTAGGGAAGAACTGCCCTCCACCCTTCTGTGAGACAATAAATTCCCAAACAAAGCCAAAGGATGACCTGCCGTCAAAAGTCAAGGAGGGATGGTCCACAGCCATTAAAGTAATTTAAATCTTAAAAACAAAGGAGATTGCACTAATGACCTTGACTTACTGAGCTACAAGGAACGACTTTCTCTTGTTTGGACAGAAGTAGTGGCTCAGAGAAACCTCTTTGGAGTGAGTGCCCTTACTTTTATGGAAGTGCATTATGTGGGAGCTGCACAGAGGATGCCACATCTTAGCTCATCACAATGAACAAATCGATTGTGAACGCTAGTGAAAAGCTAGGGTACCAGTCTAGACCTTGGACGATAAATCACATGCTGGGGAGCCTGGAGAACCTATCACTTTATTATTTACTTTTTAATATTTGTGTGTGTGTGTAAATCCCTGCATGTATGGATGGATAACATGTACGTGCTAGGTGCCCATTGAAGCTGGAAGAAGGCATCAGATCTCCCAGAACCAGAGTTACAAGGAGTTGTGAGCCACCCAGTGTGGGTGCTGGGAAGTGAGCCAGGGCCCTCTCAGAAGCAGAAGGGCTCTAACCACTGGGTGGCCTCTGCAGCTCTTCTCAGTCTTACAGCGTGGGAACACAGACTGCTATACTTTCTAAGCACGTTGCTATTGTTACTCACAACCCAAGACTGCAAACATCATGTCCGTGTGGTTAATTAGTAAATGCTACTTATAAAACAGAATTAATATTGAAAATACTGGAAGGGGCTTCAAAATGCCTGTGCAAGTATAGCAAGTCCAGGAGGTACCTTATAAGTATGTATTACTAGCTCAGCTGGGAAAAGTACAGAGGAGAATTCAAATGTGGCTTTTCTCCTAAAGCATACAGACACCTGCTTGTGGGGTAGGTATTATGCAAGGGGAGTCCATTATTTACAAGAAACATATGAATATTAGTGCAGGAGATTACTTTCAATGTAAGTGTCATCCTTTATTTTGAAAAAAAATTTTGTTATAATTAATGTTAACATAAAGTCGAATCAAGGAAGCAAAACAAAATGATCAAATTTATATAACACCTGTTCACATTAAGTACTACTGCTGTTATTCCCACTTTTATTTATGTAAATAAAAACATTGGTGGAGAAGGGCTCAGTAGATGACTAAACCCTGACTGTGTTTCTTCCTAGCTTTACACACATCTCCCTGGATGTTTTCAGAGAGCGGGTCAGCCACTTCCTCTTTCAGGTCTCAAGTACTGTCGCCGTTTCCTTGTCAAAGTAATGGCAGTCTCGCTGCGATTCCCACTTGAGAGGGAGATGATAATTGTTTGTAAATCATTAAAAACTATTTCATTTTTCCTGGAATTAATAACAATATTTTCTGGAAATTACAGGGCATTCCAATTATCACAGCTTCATATGCTGAACTCAGGAGAAAGGAGATTGATGGACCAGGAAGAATCTGTTACAAAATGTCTGTAGCATTTAAAGACAACCAGGTTGACTGTAGACACACTCCAGAACATTGCTGGGGACAAATCACAGTTTAGTGATGTGAAAGGAAATGAAAGAATTCATGGTGGTTCTGTAGAGTGGAAAGCTAGCCATCCACTCTACAGCTCGATCCTCCGATTGGTCAAGACTGGGAAGAGCCTTCCTTGGCCTAGAAGGAGCATTCCTTACGTGGAGCCGACTTAAATGCCTAAAGGCAAGGCCAGCCTGCATGTTTGCACACATGTGTTTTCATATGTGTGCACATGAGTGTGATAGCCATGCGCATGGATGCCTGTGGAGCCAGGGGTCAATGCTGGGTATCTTCCTCAATATCTCTCTGCCTCTGCCTGCCTGCCTGCCTGCCTGTCTGTCTGTCTGTCTGTCTCTCTCTCTCTGTGTGTGTGTGTGTGTGTGTGTGTGTGTGTGTGTGTGTGTGTGTGTGAGAGAGAGAGAGAGAGAGAGACAGAGAGACAGAGACAGAGACACATAGGAGAGAGAGAGAGAGTAGAATTAATCTTAAAAGTTCTATTAATCTAAAAATCTATTAATAAAATCAAACCTGTATTGGGGTGAAGCTGGAAGATCAGAGAACCAGAACAAGCCACAGCTTCCTCACCTCACCAACTTCTCAGCTGGTCTTGTTTCCTCAGACTGGATGCCTCTGAGTCCTCATCCAGAATGAATCTCAGCTGAACTGCTGCTCCAAAGCCTGAAAGCTTAACCAGCCAAATGCTTAACCAGGCCAAATGCTTCTAGTTTCTGGTCCTCATGCCTTATATATCTTTCTGACTTCTACCATCACTCCCTGGGATTAAAGGCTTGTATCACCATGCTTGGCTGTATCCTTGAACACATGGATTTCTGCCTAGCTTTGCCTCCCAAGTACTGGGATTAAAGGCGTGTGCTACCACTGCCTATCCTCTCTGTTTAACATTGTGGTTGTTCTGTTCTCTGACCCCAGATAAGTTTATTAGCATGCACAATATTTTGGGGAAACACAATACCACTTCAGAGAGAGAGAGAGAGAGAGAGAGAGAGAGAGAGAGAGAGAGAGAGAGAGAGAGAGAGAGAGACTCTCATTGAACTTGGGTCTCACCAATTTAGCTAGTGTTTCTGGCCATGGATCCTCTTGTCTCTATCTCCTCAGCACTAGGATTATAGACACATGTCACCATGCCTGACATTTTCTTGACATTGGGGTCCTAAATTTTCTTTTATTTATTTGGTTTGTTTAGCTATAGATGCAATAATCATTGAAAATATCCACTAGTCTGCTTCCTAACATGAAGAGCAAAATCGCCTAGAGTGTTTGGGTTGAGAGTTCTAATTCTCTATGAAGATACGCCATTCCCTGACACTCATATTGAATCTCTGCCCCTGTGGGAAAACGAAGATCCAAAGTGATGAACGACTACTCAAGACTTAGCTTAAAGAAGGGGCCATGACAAGTGTGAGAAGTGACGTGCTTAGGCACAGTCATGTTCTCCAAACTGCGGAAGGGATGGAACAATGGGTACCGATGGCGGCGGTGACACAGACACACGGCGGCGGCACTGATGCTACCTTTGGTGGAATGTCTTCCTCCTGTCGTAACCAAGAGCTTCGGTCGAACTTCTCAATGCGAGTGGGGAGAGGAGGGTTTTCTGAGGTGGGATCCGAGTTCTGGCGTGGCATCTCGACCCTGTGAGAGGTCACATTCAGAGCCTCCTGGAACCCAGACAGGCCCTTGGTGGGTTGCTCATGCACCGACTGGGAGACGGTCAACGCAGGTCCCTGGGATTTTACAGCTACCAGCTGTGGGATCTAAGCACACAACACAGGGCCAGCATTATTAGACGCCCATAGGTTGAAGGGACAAAAAGTTCTGTATGCAGGAATGGAATCCACCAGAGCTATTGATAGGGTAGTTTCCAGTTAGCAATAATTGCACTTGGGATAAGCCTCACTGGCTGAGACACTCCTGCTGTACAAGGCTGCACAGCGTGTTTCTCACAGCCTTCAGAATCTTCAATGTAGAAAACACATAGGGCTTCCTCAGGGGTTCTGGCAATGGGCTTGGTGCTTTAGCTGGAACTGCTGAGAAGTCAAGGAATAGTGCGGGAGTAGTAACAGTAATGACATTATTCAACATTTCTTGGACAGCAACACGAGCTATTTTATAAGCCATCTCAAGCTCCCTCTCATAAAGTCCTTAGCTTTGAGTGCTCTAAATGTCTTTCTTTTTTCTGAACTGACCTAGTCCACCATGGGGTAGACACAACCAGCCTCCTTTCAGACAGGAGCAATCCCGGGTGGAAAGAGAATAAGCCACACTGATTTCACAGCTGAGCAGGAAGCCGGTGCTCCGCCCCCAGAGCCTGTGCATCTCACCTCTGCAGTGTATGCCTTCCTTCCTTAGGTGATTCTCCCCCACCCTGTGTGTGCGTGTGTGTTTGTATGCAGGTGCACATGTATGTGTAGAGGCCAGAGGTGAGCTTCAGAATGTTTACCTGGTTTATAGTCTGTTGACTCCCTCCCTCCCTCCCTCCCTCCCTCCCTCCCTCCTTCCTTCCCTCTTTCCCTCTTTCCCTCCCTCCCTCTACCTCTCTTTCTTTCTTGAGACAGGGTCTCTCTGTATAGCTCAAGCTGGCCAGGAATTTAGTGTAGGCATGACTGGCCTTTAACAACTCACAGAAATCCCCTTGCCTCTGTCTTCTGAGTGCTGAGATTAAAGGCTTGTGCCACACATGGCCCTCACTTTGTTTAAAACAGGATTTCTCACTGGCTTGGAACTTGCCAGTTTGACTAAGCCCCGAGGATCCCCTGCACCCACTGTCACAGCGCAAAATTCACAAGCATGCAGCACCGTGCCTGGCTGTCTTACTGTATTCTAGGCATTGAACTTGGTCCTTGTATGGCAAGTACTGTACTGAATGGGCCATCTCCTCAGGCCCTGCAGTGTCCTGATTTATACAGGGCCATCACCACTGAGAATGTACACCGTCGCCTGAGACCAGGATATTTCTTGAGTTATTTCAACAATTGGGCACACAGTGCAGGAATGACTTCTGGGATTTTCATTTGGCCTCTTAAGAAAAATCACCCAAATCCAGGGTACGAGGGATTCCTTCACCACTATAATGCTCATGTGCGTCTTGTAAATATTGAAGCCTAGCCTGCCTCACGGTGTATACGGCATTCATTATTGGAGCCCGAGTCCATCTCTGGGCCTGACCTGTAAGCAATAAATCATGGCTTAAAAAAAAAAGGGATCTAGAGTGCTTCCTAAATTAAACTGCTAATTCAAGCAGTATTGATTTCCTGTTGGATTTGCACAATGGCCTGCCAAGCCCTCTTCTGTCTGTAATTTCTGTTGGAGTGTTATAGTGACAAGCAAGCTTTGCTTTGGTGAGTGTTCTGCCTCATCCAGAGTAGACCTTGTAACGTTCATACTGATGTAAATATCATAAATGTATTAGGTAACATCAGAAAACACATTAATGCATCTAGTACAAAACCCAAACTCACTTTAGCAGACCATTCCAGGCACCCCTAAAAACTGAAGCACTCAAAGAACGCTTTCATAGGAAGTCTATACTTTCATTCCCCATCATTTCAGAAGGGGTACTTCCCCGCAATGCTCCCCTTTAATAGAGCAAAGGTTCGTTAAAAGGTCAAAGCAGAAGATTTTATAAAGAAGGGAAACCCTTATAAAAATGTCCTCTTTTGAAGAGTCTGCAAGAGAGAATTATGTACAGATAAAAACAATCGGGGAAGGTGTATTAAGCTGATCGGTGCTGAGAAATTTCGAATTTTGCTCATTACTGCCAACTTAAAACACAAAAAAGCCTTGATTTTTATCATTACTCTTTTAAGCTCCAGTTCAAACAACAGAGCATATTTCAAAGGTGACCTGAAAATACACTGGAGAAGCCTTACCACAGCTGGGTGCTGGGAAGAAATTTAAGATGTTTGTGTGAGAAATGTTATATTACCTTTTCCCCCATGGAATTTCCATATTCTATTTCACTTTGAATTTCATCTATGCAGAACTAATCAGAAAGCTTCTTTCCTAATAGTGAAATAATCTTTCCCCACCAAATATCTTCACACAGGGCTTCTCAGCTTCTAAGGGGTACCATAATCAACCTGGAAGGCTTTTAAAGTCAGACTACCAGGCCTCACCCAGAGTCTCTGGTCAGCGAGTGAAACAACACAGGAGCATGCGTTTTTACCAAGTTCATGGGTGCCGCTGGCTGCTGGTCTGGAGCATGTCTGGAGAATGACAGGCTCAGAAGGCCCATGTTTACCTCACCAAGCCCATTTCAGTTCTCCCGTTCAGATTTCCACCCATATTTCAAGGAAGGGAGGAATGTGTGTAAACAGTCTACCTCAGAGGTCTGTATATGAATTTGAATTCTTCTGCTTGTAACTACAAGAATGCTTGTCCCCACCCTGCAGGACTTGCATGGATCTCCACAATAGCCACTTTACCAAGAAGTGACTTTGAAGTTGATTCAAGGTCAATAGCTCTACCTCTTCTCTCAATGCAGAGAGGCTTCTGTCCCTCTGAATGCTATGCTAAGCGTCTTTACTTCTTTGGTCCTATGCCCTGCTAGAATCTTCTAGACTCTTAATAAGCTTTCCTGGGCACAAATGTTCACTGGAACAGAAGAGACATTATACCTGGGTGTCAACAGGTCTGAGCATTGGGGGTGTCCGGGCAGGCTGAACCCCACTAATGCTGAAGGACTCTGATCTTGGGGGCAGGTTGGGGTCAGAGATCCTGTTGGCAACCTTGTGAGGCATGGCAGGTGAACTCTGTCGGTTTAGTCTTGAGCGTTCTTCTACCTAGAAGTCAAAGGACAGAAGAGCCTCAATGGCTAGAAGTTGGTGTGTTCTCCAGTAAGAGTTTTCTGTAGTCACCCACACAGGCATTTTTATGTCCCTCGAATGAATTCAAAGAGCCCAAACTTGCCATTTTTGTTTTGCAGCAAGATCTTTTTCTCCTCTGCTTCCTTTTCTTTTCTCTTTTACTTTCTCCTTCTCCTGGAAGTTCTTCCAGTAAGCAAAGGCACGCAAGACACTTGAGCCCTTACCCTTACGTTACCCATCAGCTTGAGTTATTTATTTCAGTTAACTGGGCATTCACAGCCTGCTAAGGGCTTGTCTTGTGTTCCTTGAGCTAATATCCTACTGATTAGTCACAAAGCCATGGCAGCAGGCACGGAAATGGTGTGCACCACAGATAATCAAAGGGGACTACGGTAGGCATTGAGACAGAACAGGGGAAAATAGAAACTTGCTTTGGGTTGACTCAGGAGACAGGGGACAAGAGCCACCCAAGGACTGGCGAGGGAGAGGTGGCACACAGGAACTCTGTTCTTTGCATGCTGCTGATAGGCACGTGGGCGTCCTGGATGCTGCTTAATGACATGCCTGTCTTACCCAGACTTCCTCTATCATTTTCTCTTTCTCTTCAGGGCCCTTTCCTTTCATTTGTCTCTCCCTGCTACCCAAAATACACTGATCCTCCCATTTTTTCTGTTCCCAGCATGGACTCTGTTGTCCCCCTCCCTCCGACTCGCCTCCTGCGGCCCACATTCTAGCCCTTCCTCTTCTCTCCTCCCCCTTCTCTCCTCACAACCCACTTCATTTCCCTGTCTTGTCTTATTCTCTGGGGTTTCTCTCAGCCTAAGGACGTCCCAGGAGAAGCTCAGAGAACAAGTGGCTCTTTTTAAACAGATAAAAAGTCACGATCAGTCAGTCTATATTTATAGCAGCAGTCAGGCTGTTACAGGAGACTTGAAAGTTAAATTAATAAGATGGACATCATCGACAGACAAGATGGAAGACCTTGGTCAACTCCAAAGGGCCAAGACTTGTTCTGGGTTTATCCTACACTGTCCTGTATTTCTTTAGGGTCAACATAATGGTTGTGCCGCTCCAGCATGCAAGGTGATGCCACACACCCCTCTCCTCCCCCTGCTGGCTCATTAGAGCGAGTCCTTAACTCACATCCATTGATTCAATATTCAGGTCTGTCTGCATATTTTTATGTTTCAGCTAATGTTTAAAGTTTCTTTCTGCTGACTGATTTGAAACAAAATTCTAAAGTCTTACTCGATCTCATCTTCCTTACCCTATTTTGAATCTTTCTAGAGACAGGTCCAATCTCCTATTCATAGCAGGTCTGTTTTAACCTCAAACATTTAAACATGCTTCATTAAGCCGTAGATTAGGAAACGGCCTTCCTGCTTCTAGGAGGTGTAATTTGAACACCTCTGCCGCACTATGGCTTTGTGGGGTATATCCAATTGGCCTCCACTTGACTTTGGTTTTGAAATTCCAAGTCCTAGAAACTCACCACACACCAAATTATACTCACTACAAAAGGCCAGGGATATAAACTAGGAAATGTTTACTTTGTGAGTGCATAAAACATTATATCAGCAATAATTATTCGGCTATTATACTGAGCAGAAGAGCAAAGTCAGCTATTGTTACAAGACCTCAAAGTCCCAAGAAGATGGCAGCAGCCAAGTCCAGCACCACTTCTAAATGGCAGACTTTCTGTGAGAGAAGAAAGAGGCTCTTCTTCGATCACTGCAATTCCTTATTTCCTCACTCCCTAAATTCTACTACCTAAACCACTCATGGTTGAACTCAGGAACCCTGAGGAGTAGAAACAGTTCAGAGAAATACCTGGAATTCCATACTCTGGCCACCCAATATCCCAAATTCAGAGTGCATTGGTGGTATAGAAGTGAGCCTGTATCCATGTGTTCAGAACCAAACATATTCAGAGTGAGGCATACTTGTAATGATTATTAGTGTTAGTTTTAACTGTCAAATACAGGGCAAAAAGTGAATGCCCATTTTCACAGGTAACTTGTGTACCTTTAGTTGTACAGAGAGGCTACTAAGCAACTCCTGGATAAATTTTCAATGCTTTCAATTAGTTCATGCATTAGATTCTACCCTTAGTGTATCTTAACCTGAAAGAATCTATGTCATATGAAATAAATAACCAGTTGTTAATTCCCAGTCAATGATGTCAAGAGGGGTCAATGTGCTGAAATCTAAGCAGGAGTTTGGACAACAAAAGGATAAATCCATGAGAAGGTTGTAACAATGAGGCATTTAGCTACACATTCGGAAGATTTTTATAGTTATTTCTGTGTGTGTGTGTGTGTGCACATGTGTGTGCCACAACTCATGCCAGAGGTCAGAAAACAACCTCTGGAAGTTAGTTCTCTCCTACCATGTGAGTTCCAGGGATTGAACTTGGGTTGCCAGGATTTAGCTTGCCAGGCAAGCATCTTTAGCTGTTGAGCTATCTTGCTGGCCCAGACTATATTTTTGTCTCAAGAAAATCTTGCCTTAAAGCCTTCAGGAAGGTTGGAACACAGATGTGCTTTGCACCAAAATTTCCCCTTAATTACTGGAGGAAAGACACCAAACCAGACATTGGAAATAACATTTCACAGAGAGAAAGCTGAGTATACTTAGAAGCAGATCATTCCGATACCAGACAGGGTCTGTGCCCTGACATCTTCTATCTACTAACTGAACTGAAGGTAGTTAGGTGAGAAGAAAGGAAAGTGCCTTAGACAGGCAGTGGTGGGCACACCTTTAATCCCAGCACTCGGGAGGCAGAGGCAGGCAGAGCTCTGTAAATTCTAGGCCAGCCTGGGCTACAGAGTGAGTTCTAGGATAGCCAGGACTGTTACACAGAGAAATCCTGTCTTGGAAAAACGAAAACAAAAAGTGGCTTTTCCCCAGAGCAAAGATAAACATAGCTAAAAGGGGGCAGAGTCCGGACCACTTCCATCTGCTTGAGGGGAGTCAGGTAGTAGAGGGTCTTCTCCAGACTCCTGCTGCAGAAAGATGGGAGCTGCCGGGTATCATCAGGGTGGGCATACAGCTCAGTGAATAAGGTGATTTTGAGGACCAACCCCACATGTGGGTGGTACTATGCTATGGGCTAGAGTTGCAGCCGGGAGCTGAGCACAGACATTCTCTCTCTGCTTCCTCGGTGTGAACACAAGGTGACCAGCTGCCTCTTGCCATACCTTCTCTGCCATGACGGACTTCAGCTCCTGCAGCAGAGCCAGAATAAACCCCTTCCTCACGCTACCTTCATCAGTAGTTTGGCACAAGAAGGAGAGAAGTAACTAAAAGCTGGTTCAGTGCTCTATCACAAAAACAAATTATTGATCTAAGGAAAAGCGGCAGCAGCTTGACATAGGTCACTACGGGTCATGTTTATAGACTGTAACAGAAAGTGGTTCAACATGTTCCTTACGCTAATCAAAATGTTTGCTATATAGACATAGTTCTTGAACATTCAAAACATTATTTCACTGTAATAGTGAATGTCTATTAAAATGGATTCAAATAGTATATAAAGGTATAAAACGTTACAGAGAATATCATTCTTTGATTGCTATCTCTCATTAGCCACCATGATTAGGACATCATTTGTAGTATTTTCTATACTAGTAAGATAAGATAGAAAAAGAAAAAAATTAAAAAAAATAAAAATAGGATCTTCATTCTGGTTCTGGTAACTTTTTTTTTTAAACATTCTAGGTATAAATACCTAAAGAAATATTTCTTAGGTATTCTTACAAATAAGAAATAGCCCTAAACAGCCTCTGATTAGATATGTTCATAAGAATGCAAGGAAGTCAGTGGTGTCACAAGGACAGATCTGGAGACTGATGTACCCCGTACGTGAGATGACTCATTGACTCCTGGCAGGGTCGTCAGTCTTGTCTGGGTTACTGAGTTTTCTTTATCCATTTGGTTATAACCCCTTTATTTTTTCTTCAATCCAAATAGTTTCAAATTATATTTTATAACTAGCTCATCACAGAGCCACACCCCTAAAATCCTACCTTAGTCTAAGGGTTGAGAAAGTGAAGGACTATTACTGGGGTTGTATCTGAAATGCACGTCCTAGCCCCAGGTGTGTGTCCTACTGTACACCTCCGAGAACACAGTGAACAAGGCAGGGCGAGCCGCACGCCAATGTCTCAGAACAGCAGCTGGGGTCTGGGCAGGATAGGATCCTTCCCAGAATCCTGTAAGATGTACATCGTGTTCTTCCACTAACAGTCCTCAGGGTACATACTCAACGGGATCCTTTGTGTGAATGTGGTGCGAGGAGGGTGTGCGTATGTGTGTGTACATGCACATGTGTGTGGAAGCCAAAGGCCAGCCTCAGTTATCACTTCCCAGGTGCCTGCCATGGCCTTGCTTTGCGACAGTCTGCCAATGGGTCTCAGGCTGCAAACATCAGGATAGGCTGGACGGCCAGTGAGCCCCAGATATCTTCTTGACTCCTCCTCTTCATTTCTGGGATTATAAACATTTTCCACCATGCCTGGCTTCTTATGTGGGTACTGGGTGTTACACTCAAGTCCTTGTGCTTGCAAGGTCCGAGCAGACCATCTCCCTAGCTCTTCTAAATAGACTTTTATAAGGAAAACGAATTTTTGTTGTTTTTCCCTGTAAAAACCCACTTTACTCAAAAAGGTGTAGAGGAAACACACACGAACAGCCCCGATACACCAACATTTCTCTGCAGTGACGTTATGGCCTCCAGACATGAAGTGCACCTCTTACATCGGGCTGTCTTCAGACTGTACAGCACTAATTGGATTCTGTGCTCCCAGTGAACGGGCTCCCAGGGGAGAATCTGCCCAGTGGACACAGCAACTCCTCATCCCTTACCTCTTTGGCCCAGGCTGGCTTCTCGCTGGGACTCATGCCCTCCTTGTAGTGGTACAGTGGCTTCTTCTCCAGGGGCCTCTGCTCTTGTCGCTGATGCTGGAGGGAGACCAGGTAGTCTCTCTCCTGCTTCAGCTGCCTCTGAAGCCTTTCCGCTTGTCTCTGCTCTTCCAACTGTTTGCGCTTGTATTCCTACCCAGAGCGGGAAGAGCAGAGAAAGGGCACGTGACCACAGGGACCCACATCACCACACTGAGCAGCGGCGGCAAAGCATGCAGTGGAGGCACGGGGGAGCTGTAAACAAATGGAATTCCAAGAAGGATAAGGGGTACCCCAATAAGGCCAGGCCTCATGTCAGTCCCACACAAGAATATGTCAAGGAAAACATGGGTGCTTTAATGGCAATGTCTACAGAACACCACTGGAAAGTGACATGCCCCTGGAGAACTGCAACCTAGATGCAGGGTATTCAGGCTCTCAGCCCTAGGAGTTCCTAACTTGGTAATTTGGTCATTCAAACATATATGATAGAGTGTACAACCAAATAAACAACCAGAGATCACCATCCTTTAAATAAAACCTGTATTAACTAAAGCTATTAGCAAGCTTATGTACAAAGTTAAAAAAATAACAGAATGCCATCAAATAAAAAATTGAATTAAAAAAAATGAAAGAGCTTGCACCAAGAAGCCCATTTGGAGAGCTATAGAGCAGTAATAATAAAAATTCTTCCAGTGGATACGGCATGAGCAAGAAACAAACTGTTCCCACTGTAAGGGGCAAGACTAACGGCCTGCAAATGAGAAATGACTGCAGGGCCGAGCAGGCTCCATGGCCAAGGTGCATTTGTTGTGATTGTATTCCAGCATGTTGCAAATGGCTTTAAAAATTACTCTGCAATAAACACAGTGGGTCTGGAATGCAGTTTGAACTTATAATAAGGCTGGATTCATGCTAAAGTTTCGCAAATAGAGGGAGTTAATAAAGTGTGCTAAATGGTTGAGGACTTAGCAAACGGGGTCAGGAAATTATATGAGGCCTCTGTGAGATTCTGAGGTCTAGGAGGTTGGAAGGGAAGACCTCATATTTTTAATGGGCATGTTAGGAGGAGGAAACACAAAGACATATATATGCAGACACGCGCACACGCACGCACACGCGCACACGCACACATGCATGCACACGCACACACGCACACACACACGCACGCACACGCACACACGCACGCACACGCACACACGCACGCACACACGCACACACGCACGCACGCACACGCACACACGCACGCACACGCACACACGCACGCACACACGCACACACGCACGCACACACGCGCACACACGCGCACACGTACACACACGCACACATGCATGCACACGCACACACGCACACACGCACACGTGCACACGCACACACGCACACACACGCACGCACACACGCACACACACACACACGCACACACGCACACACGCACGCACACGCACGCACTCGGGGGGAACACCAGGCAGGCCCGCTGGTGTGTGACTTTCCCATTACCAGAAGTAGAGCTTGTTCGTGCAGGAGCTGCTGCTGTAAGATCTCTAACTGCCTTTGTTCCTCCTCTAACTGACGCCTGATGTACTCCTGGAGAGGCAGGCAGCAGAGAGGTGGGAAGAATGGAAAGAGAGGAAGAGAGAGAGAGAGAACCAGTAATTGCACAGGTGACAGGAGCTTCCAAGTGAAACGCAGGGGGAAGGAAGGGAAAAAGTACCCAACACCTCACCACACAGGAAGAGTAGGCCATAGCAAAGCCAAGGCTTTCAATGCAGTCAAAAGCACAGCCCCCTCGCCAGTAGCAGCTGACTGAGATGGCCCGGCATTTCACCGTCTCTTTGGGTTTAATGAAACAGCTCTGAGTTAAAGCTTGTTGGTAGGCTCCTTCCTTACGGACTCCACGGAATTAACAGTGCCGTGAAGTTCTGAGGCTCTAAGCCAACAGCAGGTATAGAACATATGCGCAAGGCTAGCGTGCTCACAGTCTTTGTAATAGATCCATCCTGGAGCTTGCTGACTCACACTGTGATCTCATCAATCAGAGAGGTCACAAGGAGTCGGAGAGCACAAATAGCCTGAGTAGCATGGCTCATCTCCAGTGATGGAAGAATGGGAACTTGGTTCCATGCAGGGGAGTCAGAAGTTCTAGGTATGTCAGGGGAGGCCCTGGCTTGGGTAGGAAGCATGAGCATTGTCGAGCTGTGCACTTGACTGTTTGGATAGGTGAGAACTGGTTGCTTGAGAAAAAGCAAAAGCCATACTAGAACAGTTCTTGGAGACTAGTAGGTTCCACATCCCGGAAATCCCTGGTGCTGTAGTTCCCAAGGGGCCCGCTGGGGGTGCGCTCTCCACCTCCCCGTACCTGCTCATGCTCTGCGCGCCTCCGCTCCTCCTCCCGACGCATCTGCTCTTCATAGTGCCGGCGCTGTTCCCGCTCCTGCTGTTTCCGGAGCTCCTTCTCCCGCCTTTGTTGCTGTGGGTGACAGACGACATCATGGTAGCAGTGGTGATAGTAGCACCAGATCTGCCCCGTGACAGACATGAGCTCTCAAGGACAGACACCCAGGTGCTCCAGGGCTTTTCCTCCAGGGCTACTGGGGGACCCATTGGAAAGGAGGGGTGATATCAAGAGATCTGGAGTTACGTAGACCACGTTGACATTTGCTATGGATGTCTCGCCAAGACACGGTCTTTCTGTGGCCATTTGGGATTGCCAAACCAGGCTACAAAACACCAGCCGCCTTTGAGCTGTCGTAGACCCTTGAAATCCATTGCAACACTTACGTCCTCCAGTCATTCTGATGCCATGCCACACAAAGATTCCAAAGATAGACTCAGATAAGAAGAGTGCATATTCAAGGCCACATACTGAACAGAACTTAGAGACTCCTGCCCAGACCACATCTCTGTTGCTCATACCAAGCTGCTTCTCTGTTTGCTGGAGGATTCATTTGTAAATGCAGATGTCACCTTCTTGCTCAGGTAAGACCCTATGCTGAGAGAACACTGTCATCACCTCACCATCCTCACCTCATACAATTGCCCTGCCCAAGAGTGGACAGAGCGATCCACATGCTATGTGTCTATCTTATTTAATCTTCAAAAATGCCTTTTGAGGTAGATGTCATTATCTCCAGCTTATATTCGAATTTAAGGCATGGGGAGAGTAATTGTTCAAAGTCCCATTACTGTTTAAGGTCTGCTCCAGTAAATAGCAGAGCTAGACTTCAGAGGCAGCCATATGCTCCAGGACCGAAACTCAACTATTCTATAGATAGGGAGAGAGGAGATGTGCCAGAAAACCCCCACATTAACCTGGCTCCTCTTTCTGCTTTCAGAAAAGGAGGTGCTTAGGAGACCTGAGAACCAAGCTCAGGGGCAGGTGCTCCTCAGGTAGGGGTGGTGCCATTCCCCATCTCCAGAACACTCTAGAAAGTGTGTAGGGGCATGTGAATGGCTTTGGTGGCTGTCCTAGTAACTGGAGCCACATGACTGGCATTTAGCATGGGGCAGATATACCAAACATCTTGCAATGCACAGGATCACATTTAAAACAATGTGCTCTCCAGTACTACTCGTACTGTTTGGGGAACAGCTGTGGGCCTTTTGTGTCAGATCTGTACTGGCTTTGATTTCTTTTTCCTCAGTTAGGAGGTTCTGAGAAAACAGACCAGGGACCATTCACTCCCTGTGACATTCTCACGGCACTTCATTGCATGGTGAGGGGGGGTGAGATGTTCCAGAGAGAACAGCCTCCATTCCACTGACAAGTCAGTCCTGCAAAACCAGGGAAAGAGCCATTCTACCCCAGCTGTCTGCCACAGGCCCTCAAAGTGCCAAGGATGCTGGGGAAAGCCTTGTTTCTCTAGCCTTTCCAGTTCACCAGTGTGTGCTGTCTATCAGTGACCTCAGAATCTTCCGAAAGAAACTACCCTTTGGTACTCAAACTTGACAACTACTTATTCATCTTGCCCTGCACGTGATGAGAAGCCCCTGCAGAGCTTTGTGCAGCCACATGATACAATAGGGCTTGCATTTTCAAAAAGCTCCCAACAACTATTAGGCACTAACAAGGCAGGGTGAGGCCTTCCTACAGGTCTAGACAGGAGCCAAGAGGGCACTGATGATGTAACAAAGGCAGGCTGGGTACCACTGTTATCCTTACTGCTAAGGAAGGAGAAGTTGCAAAAAGGAAGAAAGGTTCCAGGTTTCTAGTCACTCTAGAGTGACTGGGGCACACCTTTAATCCCAGCACTCAGGAGGCAGAGACAGGTGGATCTCTGAGTTCGAGGCCAGCTTGGTCTACAGAGTGAGTTCCAGGACAGCCAGGGCGTTATATAGAGAAACTTATCTCAAAAAACAAAATAAATAAGTAAATAAGTAAATCAATCAATAAATAAAACAAATGACTGGCCTGGACGCCTACTTAGGAATTAAGCATGCAAACATAAAAGAGGGAGGTTCTTGTGACGGTGAACTTGAGAATGGGTGGAGCTCTGGGCTAAGGAGCATCCTGTATCATGTAACAAAGAGAAGGAGAAACAGGGGTGTGCTGATCCCAGACAAGCAATTATTCGTTTCACAGAAAAAATAATTCAGAGGAACACAAGGGGAAAACATCATCATAGGAACTGACTGAATAATTTGGATTGCAGACCCAAATCAGAGGCATTTCCAACACTCAGCTGATGTGAATTAGCGCCAGCCCAGAGAATAAAATAATTATGTGTACTGATCTGGCTCCTGGCAGGAAATAGTCCTCATTTAGCTAACATTTCAAGTTTGTTACTCTTATTGGTTTCTTTCTTGAGGAAAAAAAATCAAGCCCTTTGAAGATTTAGCTGAATCTTATGTGGAAGATTTGTCCCTTTTCAGTCCATCTGCCAGGAATCAATACTGTTTTATAATTACATGCCACTCAGGTTCTCACGCAAGGCACACACAGTATTGATCGCAACTGAAGAAGGTAGGGCTTCCCAAGTATTCTGCAGCTTCTGAGAAAGACACTCAAAAGTGGCTAATAATTAATAACGATCTCACTCAGATCAGCCACTGGTCACACATGGAGGCATCTGCCAGGGCTTCGGTTCCCACTGTGAAGTTAGAAAAATAAATTACCTCCCCAGCCTTCTGAGGGCACCCTGCCAATTTCCAACTGTGTGTCTCAAGGTTGATGCCTTTCCTAGAAAGATGTTTACGGTCTCTCCTTTTGGGCATGAGGCTGTTGGAAGAGACATATCAAAACAGGCCAAAGAAAATTTCTGCCTTTGGTGGCTCTCTCTATAAGCAGCTCTTAGAGGACAAGGCCGTGGCTCAACTCCTGCTCAACTTCAGCCTCGCATAGGTCATGGTCCCTGGCAGGTACATGTAGCGATGTGTTGTGCTAGACATGATGCTGTGTGGCTGTAATCCTACCCAGCACTGGGGAGGCTGAGGCAGAAGGAATACCAGGAGTTTAAGATAAGACACCACTATAGAGTGAGACTCTGTTCAAAGGAAAGGTGTCTGGAACTCAACAGAACAAAACCCTTGGGACGGAGGTGCGGGGGGAGAAGACACTAACACACTATTCTTTTAAAGCATTTTGGTATTTTCTTCTAATCAGTACTAATGACATATATTGCATCATGATTTATATTACTTTTTGTTAGTTTCATCAATTTTGTGACCTAGATTGAAAGCTACTATGTGTCTCTATTGTAGGTTTTATCTTTTAAAAATGATTTATTTAACTTAATTTTGATTTGTGTATGTGTATGTGCCCGAATGAATTTATGTATACCACATACACATATCACCCTAAGGGGCCAGAAGAGGGTGCTGGATCCCCCTGAACTGGGGTCACAGGCAGCTGTTAGCCACCCAGTGTGGATCCTAGGGACTGAACCACGGTTCTTCACAAGATCAGTAAGTCCTTCTTCCGGCTGAGCAGTCTCCGCAGCCCTCAGCTCTTGCCTCGTATGTTTCTCACACACATTGTATCGCTGCTCATATTTGTTGTATTGATGGCTGAAGGCCGGAAAAACAACCCAAGGGGAATGTGCTAGACGATTTTAACTGTCTACTTGACACAGCCTACAATCACCTGGGACAAGAGTTTTAATTTCGGAATTGTCTAGATCAGGCTGCCCTGTGAGCGTGTCTGTAGGGAACTGTCTTGATAATTGATGAGGAGGACTCAGCGCACTGTGGGCAGCACCACTTCAAGGGTTGGGCTGTACAGAGTGAGAAAGGCTAGCTGAAAGCAAGCAGCATTGTTGATTTGTCTCTCCCTGCTCTCTATTGTGGATGTGATGTGACCGGCCACTTGAGTTCCCGCCTTGACTTTATGCAAGGTGAAATTTTGAGCTAAATAAACCCGTTCTCTCCACAGTGGCTTTTTAGTCAGGGTATTCGTCACAGCAACAGAAAGAAAGCTAGGACTGAGTGTGAGGAAGTCTTCCAGAAACTGAAATCAGACCTGCTCTTCTGAGGCGTCTCTCATAGGCTAGAAGTCCTTCACAGAATGCCCAAATGAGATTGAGAACGTTGCAAAATCCAAGCAGCAACCAAACCACGGTCACCTGCAATTAATTGGTCCTGATACAACTATTTGCCATGATGGAGAAAAGTATGAAAATAAAATAAGGCTGCAAACCTGAGCTGGAAAGAATGAGGAGGAGAATTAAAGTAGCATTCTTAGGTTGCATTTGAATTATGATTAACGATTATCATGGTCCTGCCATCAGAGAGAATGTCTTTAACCAGCCAGATGACAGTTTTTGGCAGATAATGCCACTCACAAGGGGTGGGCTAGAAGTTCTCATCTATATCTTCTGGGAGGCATTGCTAAAAGTTGATTTCCTTAAAATTAGAAATTCAGTTGGTTCTTAATAGAGTTTCAATGTTTTTCCTTCTGGTTGGGGAGTGAAGGATAGCGGTGGCCCCGCATGTTCTCCGGGTGATACAATCAGCGCCTTATCATGTGGTGTAGATGTGGCCCTTCCTGCACGTGTGCCTTCTGCGGCTCTGCACCAACGGAGGAGAGGTAGAATTGCTATTTTCCCTCGGTGTGCCCAACATCTGACAGAAACCCTGAAGGGAGGATGGGCTTCTCTCTGCTCCGGGTTTGACGGTCCATCATGGTCAGGGAGGTGTGGAGTTAGGGGTGGGAGGCAGCTGCTCCCACCGAGTCAGGAAGTGGAGAGATTGGAAGCTGGTGCTCAGCTTGCCTTCTTCCTTCCTTCCTTCCTTCCTTCCTTCCTTCCTTCCTTCCTTCCTTCCTTCCTTCCTTCCTTCCTTCCTTCCTTCCTCTGGACCCTCAGCCCAGGGGTTGGTGCCACCATCCTCAGCTAAACCTGTCTGGAGACATTCTCAGATATGCCTGGAGGTGATTCGAAATCCAGTCAAGTTGACAAGGAAGATTAGCCGTCCCTGGACAAGTTCTGAACCTCCGCTTGCCCATCCGCTTAGGACGCTCCAGGTGGATGTTGT